GAGAGAGTGTGTGTTGTGAGTGATGTGAGTGTGTGAGTGTGTGTGTGTGTGTGTGTGTGTGTGTGTGTGTGTGTGTGTGTGTGCAGAGGCTGATCTGACAGCGATGGAGTCAGGCTTAAATGCAATGCAATTGTGCAATAATAAACGTAAAAAACAAAAAAAACAACAACAAAAAAACATTAGAAAATCAAGTATTTTCAAACAATCAAGAACATATATATCAGGGTTCTTACGTTTAACTAAAACCATAAACAAGCCCTGAAAATAAATATCTTAAAATATTTAAAAATAAACGTGATTTATTTTGATTGTTTTTATTTTAAAATACTTAAATAAATTTTAATAATAAAACACTTACAAAAAAATTGTGCATATATATCAGGGTTGTTAACTAAAACCATAAAACCTTCATCAATTAAAATACCTTAAAAAAATATATTTTGAAATAAAACAATCTATTTTATTTTGACAGATGTAAAAATTAAAAGTAATTTTTATCAATAAAACACTTATATATAAAAAATTTAATATTTTATTTTTTACCTGTATGTCATGTGACCATTAACCGAAAGCCATGAACATGCTAAATAATTGATGAATTATTGAAATATTAACATAAAAGTAGTTGACATGACTTTTTCAACTTAAACTTACACTCAGATTGTGACACTAAAATTATCTTAGACCTTTGGACCACATTGTACAATTTATTAATAGCTAAAAATATTAAAATATATTAATTTTAATTTATTATTATTATTTATTTAATTTAAATATTTTAATTTATTATTTTATTGATTAATTATATATTATTATTTTAACATAATTTCCCCTCAAAATTCACAAAAGGCTTGAGGGCTCTTCACCTGGTTGCGTTTGAAGAAGGCGCGTCGACACGCGGCGAAACACTTCTCGCTGCAGAAGCTCTTGAGCTCGGAGCCCATGAGCAGAGAATAGCGCTTCACGCCCTCCTTCTGACACCAGACGCACACGATCGGCTCGTTCTGCTCGTCCTCCGCTGAACAGAGACACGCGGCAGAGTCAGTATTACACCAATCACACATTTCCAGAGTTTATCTGCGTGTGTTCTGCGCTGCACACCGGCAGAGGGCTTGATGAGCGGCACGATGACGTTCATGCTCCTGACGGGCTCTGAGGAAGATGATGAGGAAGATGAGGATGATGATGAGGGCAGCTTCCTCTCCTCGGCGTGTGGCTTTGGCACGGAGTTCCCTGGAGGATAAATCACAGTCACACGGAGGAAGCGAGGCGAGCAGCAGCTGTGAATGTGTGTGTACCTTTAAGAACAGATATATGGTTGTGTTTGACACGGTTTCCTGAGTCCTGCAGATCCACTGAATCATAGCCGTACCAGCCTAACAACTCATTCATGGTGCTTTCAGCAAAGCTCTGCAACACAAACACACACCTGCTGTGATCAGAGCAGACATCCGCCCAAACACATACATGTGACCCTCTCTGTGCTGAAGTCTCAAAGCATCAAAGTTTGATTTCAGCCATTCATTTCACTAGGATTTCAATCTTTGACATGGCCTTACTCAGTCAGTAGGCTAATAAAGATATAAAGGTTATATTTTCACGGAATGTTCTACATCTTTATGATTTTGAAAACATTAAATCACAAAAAAATGACTTTAGCTGGGTTTTCACAGGCAGGGTCACAAATACATAGCACAAGAACATATACAGTGTATTTAATTTAAACATGTTCCAACAAATAAAATTTAACATAAATGTGCGTATGTACTGTGTGTGTGTGTGTGTGTGTGTGTGTGAGTGTGT